CCCCAAAACCCCAAAACCCCAAAACCCCAAAACCCCAAGAGTCCAATCCACGTGGCCATATAGGATGAGATAATTAAAAATTGGTTGAGAATTTAAATTAAAATAGAGCAAAAAAAGCAATATTAAAAATGAGTTAGCCTTAAAACACTAATATCAATGAGATTTCGACCAGCTTAAATGCTAGTCTGATAGTCCGAAAAGAAGTCAACCCAGATGTTCGCTAATCCATCTCTGTGCCAAGAAAAGCAGAAGAGTCTAAAGCCCCTGCTGCACCAGCTCCAGCTGCTAAAAAGAAGAAGTACGGGCTTTGGGATTTTACTAAATTCACAGTGCCTTACTTATGGAGAGGAGGCTTTATGATTAGACTGCAGACGATCTTGACTCTTATAATGCTTATAGTGTCAAGAGCACTCAATGTAACACATCCACTTATCTTGAAATTTGCAATTGATGAAATGTCTGGTGAGGACAATGACCACGGGCACACTTATATGCTTATTGCTATGTACTGTGTGGTCAGATTCCTAGCAGACTTCGCCAACAATGTAAGAGAAATACCTTTTGCCAATGTTTCCGCGAGTGCTGAGATATACATTGCTCATATGGTCTACAATCACATTCAGCATCAGAGCTTGGCTTTTCACTTGTCCAGGGAGACTGGAAAGATCATCAGAATAGCTTCTAGAGGATCGCAGTCCTTCTCATAAATACTCAGATATCTGCTTTTTAACCTACTGCCCATATTTATTGAGTTAGGATTCGTACTCATAGTCATTCTGTCTATCTACCCAGTGGCATTCTTCTTTATCTGTTTAGGTTCAGTAGTCATCTATATTATTGCAACAGGCACTATAACAGAGTGGAGAGCTAAGTACTTCAAATCATAGGCAATGAAAGATACCGAGTATAATCAAAAGGCTACAGATTCATTGCTCAACTTTGAGACTGTCAAATATTTCAATGCGGAGGATCATGAAGAGCATAGATACCTGAATGCACTCTAAGCCTATAAGAAGGAAAGCATAATAGTAGCCAGAAGTTTAATCGCCTTAAATATGTGCCAATCTCTAATTATAGCAAGTGGACTTGTCACTGCTTTGCTAGTTGCTTACCACAAAATTATCGAGCATGACAGTGATGGACTAAATGTTGGAGACTTTGTTATGATAAATACCTATATATTACAGATGTACGCCCCCTTAAACTTTTTGGGGACATTCTGGAGATTCATCAGGCAATCTATGGTTGACGTTGAAATGGTCTTTGAACTTTTAGAAGTAGACGAATCTATTAAGGACCCCAAAAAGCCAGTTCCTTTAAGTATTAAGGGCGGAGAGATAGAATTTAGAAACGTTTACTTCACTTACGATAAAAAAGCTCCTATCGAAGAGAGAAGAATGATCATTGAGAATTTGTCATTTAGAGTGCCAGCAGGTAAATCAGTAGCTATTGTAGGGTCAACAGGTTCAGGAAAATCTACCATTGTGCGTTTACTCTATAGATTTTATGATCTAGATGGTGGTCAAGTCCTAATAGATGGAGTAGACATTTCACAAATGAAGATCAATGACCTGAGATCATAGATTGCCATCGTTCCTTAAGACTGTGTACTATTTAATGATACCATCATGTACAATATTGGTTATGGAGGTGTAAGAGATCCTGTCATAAAGAATCTCCTAGATAACAAGGAGAGATCTGAGGAATTAATCCAACTTATTCAACCATCAGCTGAAAGAGCCTAAATTCACAAGTTCATCTTGGAAAAGGCAAAAGGCTATAAGGAGTTAGTAGGTGAGAGAGGCTTAAAGCTCAGTGGAGGTGAAAAGTAAAGAGTAGCCATAGCTAGAGCTTTGCTTAAAAAGACGCCTATTATGTGCTTCGATGAGGCTACTTCAGCCCTAGATACCACAACTGAAAGGGAAATCTAAAAAGCCATAGATGAGGTCTCTAGAGGCGCTACAACACTAATGATTGCTCATAGACTTTCAACTGTTAGAAACTGTGATATAATCATTGTTCTGAAGCATGGAGTGATTGTTGAATAAGGTTCTCATGAGTAGCTCATTAACCTTGAAGATGGCCACTATAGAGGACTTTGGGAGAAGTAGAGCGAGGAGTCTGAAAGGCAAATTGAGGAGAAGAAAAGAAAGGCTAGAGAGGAGGAGGAGTATAAAAAGGCCTTAGAGGATAGAAAACTAGGCAAGAACCCAGAGCTTCTAAAGAAAATCTCCCGTAAGAGTTAGGATGAAGGTGACTTTGAAGAGGAAAAGCAATAGCTGCTTGAGAATAAGAAGAAGATAAGCAATTAGCAAAGAGATACCGAAGTTCTAGATGGAGATGAGTCAGATTGAAAACTTCAATAACAATCAAATTACCTATATCTACAATTATAATTGTCTTAACCAATATAATACTTAAAAATATGATGGCAAAGGGGTTTTGGGGTTTTGGGGTTTTGGGGTTTTGGGG